TTAACCTATTGTGAGATTGTGCATTCAGGACTATTCTTAGAGAACAGGACCATTTTGCACTCAAGCTTTGCTACTATCCCTTGCTTCTATCTTTTGTATATATCTTTTCAAAAAAAATCTCAATTGGTTGATGAGTTCCACGTGCATTCATATCAGTCTTTTTAGACCCAGCATGATGGTGGCAACTGTGCTGTTGGAAAGAACGTGACACATAACAAAGATGTTATAAAGGCAGAAACAGCAAGACTTGGCAATTGGTTAGATATGAAGGAGAGGGGCAAGATAGGAAGTTGTGGATGACACTGAAGTTGTAAGCCTGTGTGACTGCAACAATGGTGATGTCAATGGATATATAGAGATATGTATATATATATATATATACATATATATATATATATATATATATATAATACACACACACAACGGTGATGTCAAGAAGACAAGAGAAAGGTTAGGCTGGAGAAATAGATCTGAGAATCATCTTCAGAGAGATGAAAATTGAATCCATGGGAGCTGATGAGATCTTTAAGTGAGATAGTATAGAGGAAGAAGAGAAGAGGTCCAAGGATAGAGGCATGGTTAGAGGTCATAATAGGGAGGAAGATCTAGTAAAGAAGACAAAGAAAGAGCTGTCAGCTAAGTAGGGGGAAACCTAGAGAAAGGAGAGCTATCAAGAAGAGAATGATAGTGTTAAAGGTACAGAGAGATCAAGAAAGAAGAGGACTGAGAAAAGGCCATTAGATTTGTCAATTAAGAGCTCATTGATGACTTTGGAGAGAGCAGTTTCAGTTGAATGATGAGGGCAGCAGATAATCATCAATAACCACAAACATTTTAGCAAGTTAAAAAGACTCACAAAGGACTGTGAAAGAAAGTGTGAAAGAAATCTGTTATGGACAGGTGGGTTTTTAAATATGTGTGTGTTATATATTTTAACAAGTATTTGAAAAACTGAAAATTGGCCAATATATCTGGATTGTGCACTGTATGAAGGGAAGTGAAGTATACGAAGAATGAAAAAAAGTAGGAAAGAGCTATGAAGAACTTTAGATGCCAGATAGAAGAGTTTATATTTGATCATGGAGATCATAGAGAGAGAATGGAATTTATTGAGTAGATTTATACGGTTTAGAAAAATGACTTTGATAGCTAGTGTAGAGGCTAGTTTGGAGCAGGGAGAGACTTGAGGCAAGAACAATTAGAAGAATATTGTTATAGTCTAGCCAAGAGAACATACCCATGTATGTGTATGTGTATATGTGAATGTATATACACACATATATACATATACACATGTTTTACATGATATATATACATATATACACACACACACACAACATACACACACAACATTATGAGAGTGGAAATGACAAGATTTACCAAGAAGCTGAATAATGTAGGGTGAGTAAAGGTGAGAAATCAAAGATAACACTGAAGTTTTGAGCCTGCGTGACTGGAAATATGGTGGTTCCCTTGCCAATAGGTTAAGAGTTGAAGAAGCTTTGGGGTTGAAAGATAATGAGTTCCTATTTTGGATATGTTGAGTTTGAGATACCTGTGGGGGATGAGTGACTGCAGTGACTGTAGCACAAGAAATATGCTTTTGTTGTTCATTTGTTTCAGTTGTATCCAACTCCTTGTGACCCCATTTGGGGTTTTCCTGGCAAAGATACTGGAGTGGTTTGCCATTTTCTTCTCTAGCTCATTTTACAGGTGAGGAAACTGAGGTAAGCAGGGTTAAGAGATTTGACTAGGGTCACACAGCTAGGAAGTGCCTGAGGTCAGATTTGAATTTATGAAGATGAGTCTTCCTGACTCCAGGCCCTGCATTCTATCCACTGTGCTACCCAGATGTCAGGAAATATGCTAAGGTTGGATAAATAGATCTGGGAGTCATATGCATAGAGATCATAATTAAATATATGGGAGCTGATAAGATCCCATATAGATAGACCAAAAAGAAAAAGAGGGCCCAGGACAGAGCCTTAGGAGACATGCACAGAATGCAGAACCAGCAAAGAGGACTGAGGTGAAATAGTCAGAGAGGTAGGCAGAAAAGGAATATTCAGACAAGTAGGAGGAAAAGCTAAATAGTACAGTACCACAAAAATGGTTAGAGGAGAGCCTATCCAGAAGGAGGAAGTGATCAACTGTGTTAACTGCTACAGAAAGGTTTAGAAGGATGAAGAATGAGAAAACGCAATAGACCTGGCATGAAGAGATCATTGGTAACTTTGGAGAGTTGAATTTTCAGTTGAATGACTAGACTGGAAATCAGATTACAGAGGGTTTGGAAGAGAATGAGAGAAAAGAAAGTGGAGGCATCAATGTTAGCTGGCTTTCTGAAGGAGTTAGCCATGATGAGAAGGAGAGAGAAAGGACAGTAATTAGCAGGGGATTTGATCAGGAGGAGATAAGATGGGGTTGCTCTCAGAGAATGGCCTCCATTTTTTTCAGTGACTTATGAGGAGGTCCTCAGCTAAGAGGGGTATGTGGGGTGGGGTTGGGGAGCCATGGGAGGATTGAGGAGAAGTGACAAGGTTGGCAGCAGCTGCTGTAGTGTCTCTGATAGAATTGATTAGGCAGGAGCAGAATGAAGGCCTTGATGCGGTGAGGGCCAAGTTAAGATCAGCTAACATAAATTTGTAGTGGCCCTAGTCAACACTATATAGGTCATAATATATAAAGTTGGAAGAGACCTTATAGGTTCAGCCTTCTCATTTTAGAGTTGAGGAAATTGAAGCCCAGAAAGATTAAGTGCCTACCCTAAGGTCACTCCATCAGAAAGCATCAAAGGTAAAATTTAAAGTTCTTCTAGCTCTTTACAGTCTTGCCTCCAAATGAAATGTCTGTACATATGAAACTTTCTAGAGCATATATAAATAAATTAAAACAAGACAGTCCTGTAACCAATTATACTCATTTCATTTATTTAAAAAGTCCTGAGAAAAACACTTTCCAGGCTGGGGACACAAGTTGTGGCAACAGGAAGAAAGTTCTAGGGAGAGATAAGGGATTGGGGGTTGTAGGGAGATTGGGTGAGAGTACCAGAGGAATAGAGATCTATGTATGTGTCCAAGCGTGCCAGAAAACTAACTCAAAGTTTGTATAGAGTTCACTGCAAATAATAATTTTGAAATAAATGAGAAAAGAACTTTGAGTGTGAATCAGTTTAAGTCAAGGACTGGCTGGGTGTTCTTCTGAAGAAGGTATGGTAATAATATGGCTTTGAGAACCACCTCCGATGACTTTTTAAATGATCCTCAAAGGTGCGAACTTCAGTTATCTGGAAAAAAGATTTCCTTTCCAATGATATAAAATACCCTAGCATGTTAATGTCTTTTTGGGGGAATCAGTAGACTTTAGTTGAGATATCAGCTCAGATACCTCCTTGCTGTGTGACCAGCTAGGTGGCCCAATGGATAGAGAGTGATGACCTCAGGCATTAACTATCAGCAAGATCCTGGGCAAGGCACTTAACTTCTGCCAGTCTCAGTTTCCCCAACTGTGAAATAGGATGAATAATAAAAAAAATACCTCATAGGGATGCTATGAGGATCAAATAAGATCATATTTTTATCAGCACTTAGCACAATAGGTGCTTAATCAACATTTGTTCCTTTTTCATAAGAACCTTCCTTAACTTCTCAGAAACTGTTTTCTCATTTATAACATGGAAATAATACTTGTGCCACCTACGTTCCAGAGTTGTGAAGAAAGAGTTGTGCAAAGTTTAAGGGCTAAAATGATTAGTCCAGTCTCTCTCATACTACAGAATATGCCCAAATGATAGTCTCTACATCTGTGACACTAAGTTGTGAGAGACAAGAGAACCGGGACAACATAACAGACAATGTTTCCAGATCCTGCAGGTGAGAGCCAGGTGGCAGGGTTCTGAGGGCAATTGAAGCAGGTGTGGTGGCGGAACTCTGGCCTCCGTCCACTGCAACTGGGCCCACTAAGCATCTTGGTGAGGATCTCACACTGCTTCTTTTACTTCGCATTGCCAGCCCACTCGCCCAGCCCCCCACCAGAGGTGGGTGTGCAGGGAAGGGAGTGGAGAAGGAAGGGCTATAGTAAATGAGGTGGGGGCAAACTGGTCAGGCCACCGGGGTTGCCGTGTTCTCCTCTGGTTTGCAGAATGTGGGGTTCGGCGGTGGGGAACTGTCCGCTCTGCATCCTCTCCTCCCCTCCCCTCCTCTCCCTCTTTCCCAAGGCAGGAAAGGGGTTGATCGCCAGGTGGGCCCAAGCTAAGGCTGGGACGGATTTGGTAGCGTCCCGGTGAAGCCATCCCGAAGGCTGGGAGAGATGCATGCCTGTGGGGACTAGGGGCAGTGGACTGGTCTGGATGCTCCGCCGCTCTCCGCGGGTGATGCATTGCCTGCAGAGTGCGCTGGGAGCAGCCACAACCGTGGGTGAGAAGCTGAGCCACCCGAGCCAAAGCCGGGGAGGGCGCGGGGTGGGAGGAGGGAGAGAGGGAGAATAAGAGGGAGGCGGGAGAGCGAGTACGCCCGCTCCCGCCCCCGCCGCCTCTAAGGGGCTACCTAGTTAAGCGGAGCCGAACCCAATCAAGCCCGTAGTAGAGGCTAGGCGAGAGGAGGAGAGGGGAAACAAGCTAAGCCTGAGGAGCCTGCCCACCCTGGAACCCCAGCGGAGGGCTCGGGCCGTACGCTCCCTAGGCTCGCCAGTTCCTGTGCCTGCCCCCGTCCCTGGCATAGTCTCCCATCCTGCCAACTTGTGCTCCCCCGCCGCCCATCTGCCCTCTCCACGCCTCCCGCCCTCCAGGCCCCCTCCCCCCTTCCTCCTCTCTCCCCCCTCCCCAGTGCCTCCTGAAAACCCAGCCCTCCCGGGGCGGCCCCGCAGTGCCAGGGACCCGGGGAGCCACCGCCGCCTGTGCGCTCCTCCGATCCTCTCTCGCCCAGCACCCAGGCTGCCGGTCCGCCCGCCCGTCCCACCGTCCATCCGACAGTCCCACCACCAGTCCGTGCGCGCCAGGAGCCATGACCGCCGAGAAGGCGCTGCCCATCGGCAATGGCAACGCAGCGGAGGAGGCGCGGGACCCCGAGGCCTCTAGTACCAGCCTGGTGCCCAGCCGCGACAAGAAGGTCCACGAGCGGGGCCACTGGAACAACAAGGTGGAGTTTGTGCTGAGCGTGGCGGGCGAGATCATCGGGCTGGGCAACGTGTGGCGCTTCCCTTACCTGTGCTACAAGAACGGAGGAGGTGAGGGAGGGGCGCGCCGGGCAGGGGAGGAGGGGTCTGAGGCCTGGGGGTCAGGATTCTCCCTGGCAGAGCTAGGGGCGGGAGGGAGGGGGCATGCGGAAAGGGAAAGTGTCGGATGGGGGAGGGGGGAGGTGCCTGCCACTTGGCCCAGAAGGGACGGGACACTCACTCTAGGGAACTGTCTCCTGACTGGCCACTGTACTACCTGAGAGCAGTTTACCAGCGCGTGTGTGTTGCTGAGATGCACAACTGAGAGGGAGACTTGAATGGCATTGTTTACAATTAGTATTCCCCGCCCCCCTCCCCATACACACTTCGAGTTAGCTTGTATATTAGCTCCTTGAGGGCAGGGACTATTTCATTTGTGTTTTTGTCACCAGTGCCTAGGACAGTGCCTGGTACATCGTAGGCATTTACTAAAAGCTTGCTGTTTTGGATTGGGCTGTGATGTGCACCTCAGAAACTCATTTGACTTTTGAGTATGAGAACACACACTTACACTTGAAGCCAAGACTTTTATTTTTTAAACTGATTGAACAGAGAGAGACACACACTTGTACTTTGGCAAAATTGCCACCTTGGCTTTGCCCGTATTTGTTGAGATTTAAGGAACACATCTACCCAGATCCCAGATATTGTTCGGCCATTTAAATACTGTTTGGTCTTCTACAGTATTTGGAAAACAAGAAGTGTACTTCATTGCTCCTCCCCTTCAAAAAAAAAGTTGCTAATTCACTCTCAACTGAGGTAATTTCATATTAGCTGTGGTCAATCCCCATCCCATCACCACCTCAAACAAAATCCCTATCTGTGTGTGCCTGGGTAATAAAGTGCCTCACTGTACTTGAAAGCATTCTGGAGAGGGAAGACAATTAGAAAAGTTTTAAAGTCTATAAGAATTTAACTGTAGAAAGAAAACTGGCTCTGGAGTCTAATTCCCACCTCTGATTCTTACAACCTGTGTGACCCCAGGTAAGTCATTTAATCTCAGTGGGCCTCAGTCTTGTCATCTGTAAAATGAAGGCCTTATAGAACCCAATTGACCAGGTTGTTGTGAAGATTAAAGATAACATTTGTAAAAAGACTTTGCAATCCCTGGGGTGATATGTGTGTCTGCTAGTAGTGGTAGGAAGAGTAATAAAGGCAATCTGGTGTCCTTGTATAACTAGTCAGTCAGTTGATAAGCATCTATTAAGTACCTACTCTGTGCCAGGCACTTTGTTAAAGATTGGGGACCACGAAGAAGGTCAAAAGATACCCTACAGGAGCTCACGGTCTAATGGAAAGACAACATGTAAACAACTATTTACAAACAAGCTATAAACAGCATAAATAAGAAATAATTGACAGAGGGAAGGCACTAGAATTAAGGAGAATGGGGAGTCTTCCTGTAGAAGAGGAAATCTTAGTTGGGACTTGAAGGAAGCTAGGGAACAGAGATGAGAAGGAAGAGCATTGATAGCCAGTGAAAATTGTTGGAGCCTAGAGATGGCGTGTCTTGTATAATAGAACCCTGGCCTGAACCTCGGGAGACCCGAGGTGCATTCATGACCATTGGTAGCTGTATCAACTTGAACAACTTATTTGACTTCTCTGGCCTTGGCTGGATGGTTTATTTCTAAGCTCTCTTCTAACATGTTATGACTATGAATGGAGGGAAGATTGACTTTTCCAGGCATGTTGTTGAGCCTTCATTTCCTCAAATTGCTCACCTCATGACTGAGAATGAAAGGGAAGGAATTTGAATTGGGGGAGGGTAGCGACAAGTGGCTCAATTTGTCCCTGTTTCATTCCACCCCCATCCCCCCCAAAAAAGTTCTTCAAAGTTTCAGTGAGGGAAGTGAGGAAAGTATCACAGGGAGAAAATGGACCTTCTGCCACCCCTAGTGTTTTTGCTTGACCCCAGGGAAGCTTGTGCAGTTGATTCCAGGAATCCATAGCTAAGTGAATATTCCTTCTGTAGACATAAATAATATATGTATTGCTATTTTTCAAATGTTTGTAGATATTGTTTTGATGAATTAATGTAAATTAATTTAAAGGAGTTACAGAATTCAAAGTAGCCTTTTGTTGTTCTGAATTTTCTCAATCCACAGATAGTAAATAGAAAACTATTATCATACAAAGGTCCAACTTTAAAAAAAAAAACACTATAAAAAAGTCCTACTACTTGTTTCTGCCCTAGAGGACAGAAGGGATAGCCAGGGCATGAAGCCTATGCAGAAGACAATTTCCCTTCAATAGGGATGGGAGGGACCTGTTGACTATCCATGCTTTTTACAAAGAGTCTCACCACACACAACAGTTACACTAACTGGATAGCCCAAGGAAGTGATTCAGTGGGTACTGCTTTGAGGCAATTGTCCAAGTCTCTTCCTTCCACTAGTCTCAGATTTCTCATCCATAAAATGATGAGGTTTGACTAGATACTGCTTTTTAAGGCCCCTCACCTTTGACGTATAGTGATGTGCCGATGGTCAGTGAGCTTTTTAGCTTCTCTTGCAAACAGTCACCCACAACAAAAGCAAAAGAAGACATTTAATTCGTTATTGTTTAGTATCAATGTACTACTTGGGAAATTCTCTGGGTCCATCTTTTTATTTAGCAATTATTTGCAAGGCTTTTTTAAAAAATTGATTTGCATGGTGAAGGAATAGAGTCATCAAGAATCAGTAAATTCAGTCCAGGAAAAAGGAGATAATTCACAATTAGAGCTGAGTTCAAATTTTGCCTCAGACACTAGCTGTGTGACTTTGGGACAGTCATTTACCCTCTATCTGCCTCAGTTTCCTCATTTGTAAAATGGAGATATCTATCTCACGAGGTTGTTGTAAGGATCAAATGAGATATTTGTAAAGTGTTTTGCAAAGCACTATGTAAATACTAGTTATTATTATTATTGATTTTTACTATTATTTTAATATATTTTACATTTTCCCTAATTACACATTAAAACAATTTTAGCATTTTTGAAAGTTTTGAGTTCCAAAATCTATTCCTTCCTCCATCCCCTGCCCTCACTCCTTGCTGAGACAATGAATGCTTGTTAACTATTTGATCACTCTTCAGACCTTAATGAACTGCTACCTGTCAAGACATTCATCTGATAGAATAGTCAATGGAAGTTGCCTCCACCACCACCAAAAAGCAAACAAACAAACAAACAAAAAACAACAACGACAAAAAAACAAATCTTGTTTGTATGATTTCTGCAAGAGTTCTACAAACCCACTGGATGTTTTTTTTTCCCCCCACTTTTGTTATAGTGACACTGCTTTAAAAAAACAAAACAACCCAACACACTCAAGGAGCTCATTTTGCATATAGGATGTTTTCCATCTGTCCAAAGTCTATTTCTCAAGGCTCTTTCTGTGCCAGTGGAATGGTGAGAACAGAAGAGAAGGGCCACTGCTTGGTTTGAGCTGTTTTCTTTGGAGACTTGCATAAATAAAGTAAGTTGATCTGAGTCTGCTCAGCACTGGTAATGAGGGGGCTTTAGCAGTGTTTGTATGAGAGTTAGGTCTGGGAAGCAAAACTGCCGTCCTGCCTTCTGCTGTGGGAAAGCCATTGCCAGTACTCTTATTGTAGGTTCTGAGTTATCCAATTTGGTGCCTTGTCAAAACCCCTCCTTATTACTTCCAAGTACTGGGTATAATGGGTAGAGGGAAGATAGGAAGTCCTGAGTTCGTCTCCTGCCCCTCTCTCTCTCTCTCTCTCTCTCATACACATACACTCACACACACACACACACACACACACAAGCTATAAGACCATGGGGAATCCCTTCACCTCTCACTGTCCCACACAGGTAGCTAAGACTCCAAGTAACAGATGCCTTGTCAATCTGAATAAGTGGCAGGAAGCTTCCAACAACAAAGACAATAAATATTGGGACCAAAGGATAAATTTTAAAAACATTGTTTTGGGAACATAGTAGCAAAAGAGTTAACTCATCCTCTGCTAAAATGACTGCATACAGATTTCCTGTATTCTGAGGTAAGTTCTGTAACACTTTGCTATGTGAAGGAAAAAGGAGTTAGTAATTAACCAATAAGAAAAATTTTACTTTAATACTTTGGTGCTCACTGCCACAGCAGGTTTACAAATTCTAGCATAAAAATACAGAAGGAAAAGTTTCATTGAGAAAAGTCCAACAGTGCATTGTAGTGGAAAAAGCTCTGATAGAGATCCAGGAGACCTCAGCTCAGCCACCAACTCACTCACTCCAATAAAACATATCACTACTCCTGTCTTATTTTCCTTGTCTATGAAAGTAAGGGGTTGTATAAGATGATCTCTAAGTCTCTTTTCCCTCTGTAACATTTTATGATTCTAGTTATTTTGCTTTTAAGCTGATGTCCTCAAACCTTCCCTTGGGTGTGTGTGTGTACATGCCCACATATATACACATGCACATACATGTATAGACAGATGTTTATATATGTATATATATATATATATATTTATATATATACATATACTTTTGTCTTGGATGGGTTATTAGAAGGACCTTTTAAATATGTGTTCTCTTGTCAATGGACAGGACAAAGGGCATTGGGTCTTATTAAAAGTTCGAGATGCATAGTTAGATTAGGTACCAAATGTGAGGTGGCATTTTGCTTTTAAAAAAATTACATAATGATTTACAATATTGAACCATCTCCCCAAAATGGAACAAAACAAAAACAAAACTTTTATTTTATTTTTTTGCTTAGCAAAGAGATGGCATTTATCAAATATATATATATATATACATATATATACATATGTTACTTTTAAACAAATCAACTCATTGGATCCCTTTATCAAGTCAGTGTCATTCTTGCCTATTGTGAAATATTGAAATGGGTTTGACCACTGAAAGATTCAGACACCAGCTTTACTCATTATAGCATAAACTGAGTGAAGAGAGTTCTTTTGTCATGAAGGAACTACTGCCTGCCCAGGCAGTGAGCAGATAGCTAGATCAATCATTTAATTAATAAGCATTTATTAAGCAC